CCCAGAGTATGACTGTTGACATACAATATTGTAACTGTAGTTGTACACAGTATAGCTATCTCTCACGTTAATGTCCTCAATCACTACGCATTTTTAATTAGCAGAGAGCAAATTATATGTTTTTTAAGAGACATTTTTCGCAGCGGCAGAAATATCAAGGATACAATACACGTAAGATTCGCGCGCGCGTTTGTATCTTTCTTTATTAATATACCTTATATAAAATAATAATAATTAAGCGTTTCTTTAGCATATCAGTTACACGTTAATTTACATCTACTGACTTAGCCGTGAATATTAATTTACTCCTCGGCTGACGCGGATAGAATGTAGTTTTAAAATCATATTCTGATTGCGCGCACAACATATTGCATATATATATATAATATTTTACGTAGATTAATTCGACTTATACTCGCATAAATTGTTAAAGAAATTAACAAACAATACGTACGAGTGTCCGCGCGGAACGTTTCGACGTTTATGCTCGGAGAAATGCAGTCGGCGCTTTGCCGGTCGCCGATCGTACTCGAAGTTTTCATGCTCGCATGAAATTTACGCGAGAGGAATCCGTGGATTGAATTTATGCGTCCGGTCGCCGTCGTGTGCCCTCCTTTAACGTCTGAAGGACGAACGCCCGTTAAAGTCTCCCGTATAAATCCTAAATCAGCGATCTCTTCGCATTCATAAAGACGCGCAACGGGCTTTATGGCGCGAACGCAAAGTGCCGGTGAGCGCGCCCTGACGTAATTGCTCTTGTGAATTGAGCCCGACCGCCGTCTTAATTGCGTATCAAAGCCGATGTACCGCCCGTTTGATTCGGCAATTAAAGCGCGCTGCGCGATGCCGAGGAGTGACACGTCTCGCGATGCGGCCCACAATCTGGCACGCAATTACGCCGTTTTGGCGGCGTACCACAAGTCGTCCAGGCTTGTTTCGATTATGGATACTTCATTGTCGGCGCGTGTAGCTTCGATGCATTTAAGCACCGTGTACATGGAGGATATTCTCATTTCTGTATACCTCCGCAATCTTTCAGGCTTTGGTTTAACGAGCAGAGATATGGCCGGTCTAAGTGCTCGTGGCAAAAATAGGTTGAGATAAAATTTTATATTGATACACGAAGTCGTTAATAATACCGTTGACAACCGGGAAACACGTTAATAGTCACCGTCGTTCAGACAGGTTGAAGATTGATCGGGCAGCCTGAACTGTTTCCTCGACTCGTTAGATATTAATTGATTGGAATAAATTAATCGGAGAACAATTTGCCGACAAGCCGCTTGTTTTCCACTAATTACTTTTGATATATTGATAGTCTGTAAATTCAACAATTAATTAGAGAAGGCGCCATTTTCAGTTTCGCGAATTCGGGGAAGGTTCAGGCTCGAATTCTGAAGTGATATTTTTTTGCAATAAGTCTTTTACACCTAAACAGAGAGTGCGTATTAAAGTATACACAATTCGCACAGAAATATTATTTGGCTGCCAAGATCCAGCCTTGGACTCTGGTCCAATTTCGAATGGCGTCTGCTCTAATTAATAGATTCACGTATTACCACTTTTGAAATTCGAATATGCCGTGTAGATATCGTAGCCGACAAATTTCATTTCTTCTTCAGACGGGCGTCGTTGATGTCACCGCGGCAGTTGATGAGAAGCTCTAACATGACTCAAAAGTGGCAGCGTCGGGAAATATCGAACTTTGAGTATCTGATGTTCCTGAACACAATCGCTGGTAAGTACCTTTACTCGGGACGCGAGACGCGATCGAGATCGACCCGGCGGTCGATCGATTCCGCTTGGGTATCGATTAGAGAAAGGAGAACACCGGGACTGGCGAAGACGCCGGGCTTTTTTATGGGTGCACACGGGCGGATGGAGTCTGTCGTGGCGCATTAGGGATGTTCTCAATCAGCCCTGTGTTCCGTTAGCTACCCCATGCGAGTAATCCCAACCTTGTGAACCCCGGTAATCCTCTCCCGAGGGACTCGCCACCGCCGCGCCCCCCCCCCCCCACACCCCCCGCCCTCTCTCCGCCTCGCGTCGCTGAGGGCAAAATGGAAGCACGTCTTTGTTTCTCTTCGGTTTAATATCGGGCTCCCTCGCGCGTTCATCGAACCAAATCACGAAACTCGAGACGCCGCCTGCCTCGTGCGCTTTTTAACGAGACAGTTCGGCCGTTGACGAGTCACGACGGAATCCAAACGGCGCGTCGTCATCCCCCGATCACCTCGCCGGCCGTTTCACCGGAGGTGGGCGCTCCTTTTCCCTGGACAAAGTTTACGCGAGATTTAACGATACACGCGATGCGCGTTCCATTGCGCTTTCATTACCGTGCGCATGATAGAACGATTTATCTTTAATTTCACGGAAGAGAGAATTCAACGTGCGCCATTTGTCTTCTGTGCTACACGCAGGAAGCGCCTAGAAGAAACAAACGTATCATCAAACGATTCTCTTCACTTGCCGCGAGGTTCATCGACTCCCGAGAGTGATCGATCTCTCGCCGGCCTCATCTCCCCAGGCTGAGCT